GAAGTTTAATCACCTGTTTAGAAACAAATCTGTTATCTAAAATGTTGACAATACTACATATGCAGGTAATTTTTCTTTAGAACAATGAGACAATCGGAAGAATTGAAAAGGTCAATAATTCAGTTTTCAGAACCTTTTGTTTGGTTGTGAATTACGAAAAATGCATTTCTTATATTAACCTATTAACATAATTCCCTCAGATACTGCCATTTGCTCTATATGTATTAGTTTAGTTTTCTTCTTGTTTCAATCTATAATTTTATTTATTTTCTTCTTCCAAATAACACTGTTGTCTAACATTCATAGTGGGATGGAATTAGCAAATATTTATTGAGTATTTACTATCTCCAAGAAACAATATTTTAACTTCAAAAAGAGATGACAAGATTATAGAATCTAGTGGTAAATGAATGGAGGATTGTTATACATTGTTTGAAGCTTTTCTCTATGTTTAAAATTTTTATAATAACTTGCTTGAGACAATAATCAATGACATAAGAAATGAAATATTCGGAAAAGTGAGGAATTGACAGAAAAAGTTTTCTGGAAAGGAGTTATAGTCTATCTTTCCTGCATAATTTTTCCTTTTGCATCCTTACACAGGTGTGCAAAGGGGGCTGAATCCAGGTTGTCTGCAGCTTTCTCCCTGTGCTCAGGGTGATGTGCCCCAGTACTGTCCCTGATATCACCATGAGAGAGCACGTGAGGTCATAATGAAGCCATGTGCCCTGGTTCTGCCAGCCCCTCTTTGACTGTGGCAGATTCCTACCACTGACTGACCCACCCAGGAGGAAATGGTCAGGATTTACCTGGGTTGACATGTTTCCTCTAATGTCTTCTAAGGCTGCATTGCAAAAACCACTTTTCTGTTTCATCTCTGCACTGCCTGTCTTTTCTTTTCCTAATTCCAAGTCATTCTTTTTTTTAGTAACTCCAGCATTTACTTGTTCAGAAACTTTGCACTTGAGAAAACTCGCATTGGAAAAATCCACATAGTTTAGAATTACACATGAGGAAAATGGCATTTCCAGATAAGAATTTTGTTTGTTTTCATCTTCATGAAAGAGAAGCACCTACATTCCTACTTATTCTGCCTTAAATTAGAAAATGACACATCTTGCATACTGCTACGAATGTCATTAATAAGACTCACCCACTCCCCTGTGAAATACACAGAGGGTGAAAATGTCTATTATTGTTTATCTAATAATTATGTGAGTGGAAAATTACCTACATCTCTAATGGATAATGGCCACCTGGGCTCTGCAAATAAATCATAATATTACTTTTTTCCCCACAACATTTCTTTTTTAATGGGAAGTCAGAAAAAAATAAAGAGGAAAATTTTAGTAGTATGTTCGTATTCAAGTAGATTTTGACAAATCAAATTATTCTAATGTTGTTTAATAAATAACCACTTTTCTGACCTTGTAAACTTAAGTATCACTTCTTGATTTAATCTCAAATATAAATTCTCTTTATGATTAATACCAGTACTACCTAAATTGTCTTCTATAAAAATAAAGTTAGTACTAACTTTCCAGGTTGTCATTTGTACGACAGCGAATTTTAGGTAACAATCACTGAAAAAGTTAGTTAAAAATTATAGATACCTTTCATATTAACTATACCAAAATTTCTTTTCTGTTATGGCAATATTCTAATTTTCAATTTATTTTGTCTCTTAGTACAGTATTCAAGTTACCAATTTTAAAAATATTTTGTCATGAGTTTTTTATAAAATACTCGACTGGTAGTACAGTATCTGTTAATCTTCAAAATTTTGGTGATTTTTTCAACAGCTTCTTTACATTCATTTATAATAGTTTTTCTTTTCAGGCTTATTTATATAACTGATTCTGATCTTTCAAAGCTTTTAAAAACAATTAAATCAAAATCTCTGGGAATAGGGCTCAGGCAGTAGCATTTTTAAACCTTCTCACATGATTCTACTATACAATCAGATCTATCTTAGGATGGTGCTGTCTCCACAATGAATAGAAAGGCACGTGTTCATATAAATTACTGTCTTTTTTTTTTTTGGTGGCTGGCCGAGAGTTATTTTCTTAGTAGCATACCTAGACTGCCTGTATTAGTCCATTTCTGTTGGTTATAACAAAATACACAGAATCGGGTGGTAAATAAAAAAATGAAATTTATTGCTTACAGTTTCTGAGCCTGGGAAGTCCAAAGTCCATCTGATGATGGTGACAGTGACCCGGGGTCTCACATGGCAAGATGGTGGAAGCAGAGAGAGAAGAGAAACAGACTCTCTTCTCTCTTAAAGCCCTCAGAACCACACCCCTGACCACCATTTTTAACCCTTTCACTACTGCACAGTCTTACAATCTAATCACCTCTTCAAGGCTCCACCTTTCAATTACCGGAATAGGACTTCCCACACTCTTAACAGTCACAGTAAGGACCAAGTTTCTAATACATAGAACTTGGGGGACACAGTTCAAGCACCAGTGAGTTTTGGGGAGGGGACATAATTCAATCCACTACACTACCCCAACAAGATATTTCACTATTTCAGCAAAACA